TTCCTGCAGAGCCCACCTAAGTCTGTCTCTTCAAGACTCAGACACAGCCATCCAGGCTAATGATACAGGCACTGGAGCCCAACTACGTAGGCAAGGATCCAGCTGTATCGCTTACAAGCCTAAAGTCTCTGGTCCTCAGTTTCATCATCTATAAAATGGGAACAATAAAAAGTATCTACTCATAGGGCTGCCATGGGACCTTAATGGGTTAATCCAGGTAAAGCTCTTAAACTAATCTCTGGCACACAGTTGAGCTTCCCCAAAAGTCTTAACTAGCACTGGGAGCATCATCCTCATCACCACCGCTGCCCCCCACACTCACCGCAATACACCTTCTGCTCTCGGCGCCCACGACCACTCACTCCCTGTCTGTTCTTCACTCTCCCAGGTCTCTATCTCTTGGCTCTTATAGGTCCCCTGTCCACAAGAGCCACCCAAACTTCTCTTTCAGGCAAGCTCCTATTCCTCCATCAAAACCCAGATCAAATGCTACCTCCTCTGTCATGCCCCTAGAAGCAGTTATATATCCCTCCTCTGTACATACAACTATCACAGAATTTAAAATGTGCTGCACCAGACATAAACTCCTGAAGGGCAGATGTCTTCACAAGTATGTTCCCAACACAGTGCCTGGCCCACAGCAGGTGCCTGATAAATGCAGGATGCTGGGGGAGAGTGGTCATCAGAGCCCTACGTATAGGATAACTCCTCCGCGTGGGCTTAACTAAAAAAGGCAGATTCAAGGTCTACGTGGGTGTAAGTGGTCCATCCCCCGCCCCCTGCCAATGTTCATGTGGAAGCAACAGAAAAACCCAGAAGTAAGGAAAAGTGATAGAACTGCTGATTCTTGATCCAGTCCCCCAAATCTGTTCCCCCACAGAGTCTCCTCCAACTCAACACACCCAGTTAGAAACCACCACCTCTCCCTTCTGTCACTGCCAATACCAACTCTACCAAGTCTTACTGGTTCACTCTCCAGAATGGCCCCCAAATTTGTGCACTTGGCATCATTTCCCAAACACCTCTACCCCATAATTTCATCCCTGGTTCTCTTAGCTCAGCCCTTGCTCTCCTGTCTGAACATCAGGTCTGATCCTAGAGCTTATCTATGTAACTCTTCCCACTGCACTTGGCATCAACTCAAGCTCTTTGCAGGGCCCCACAGACCCTGCCTGATCAGACCCCTGACTTCCTCCCCATCCTCCCCACTGACATCACTTTCCTCCCCCACCCCCACACCCAACCTCAGCAGGACCTTGGGTCCTTTCACTTTCTGGAACAAGCCAGGCTTTTCCTACCTCAGGACCTTGGCATATGCTGTTCCCACTGCCTAGAAGGCTCTTCCTGCTCTTCCCACAGTTGGCTCTTTTTCTTCGTTTATACTCAGCCTAAATGTCAGCTCTCTGGAGAGGCTTTCTCTGACACTCCTGCCTATGGGAGGCTCTCTCTCCTCCCCTCAGCACCTTATCTGTGATCTCAGCACCAGGTTTGTTTGCTTCAAAACACTTAACATGTGTCATCGGTCTCACTGATTTTGTTCTGTCTGCTCAAAAAGACGGGAGACACGTGAGGGCAGGGACCACGTCTGTTGTGTCCCCTGTTGCCCTTCTGCACATAGTATGGAGCCCAAATGAATGCATCTTTGTTGAATGGCAGATGGTATCAAGTACCTAGCACATGCCGAGCAAGCTGCTGTAGGAGTGTATGTGCAGCTCATTAGACCTTCACAACAACCCCCAAAGTACTTACTATTCACACTTTACAGATCCAGAAGCCCAGTTAGGAAATGAACTTGCCTCGCACCATAAAGTCAGTAAGCAGTGGAGATGGAAGTGACACTCAGTCTCGCTTTTCTGCCGTGCCGACTGCTCTCCAAACCCCCTCACTGCCTATAAGATGGCCAAGCTTTCAGCCGACATTACCAGACTCACCACCAGCCTAACTGGCATGGCAGCATAATTGGCTCCCTTCATATCTTTATTTTTATCTTTGTTTAAACCTTCAAGACATCAGACAAGGAAGACCCTGCTGAGATGCTTAAATGACGCTGGCATAATATTTGTATGGTTGTTGATTATTATCATATCCTCAGCCCTTGCTCTCCTCTCTGAACATCAGACATATTTTTCACTGGTGTCTGGTCTTATGGGGAAATTGGATACAATCCATCTTGCAGGCTGAACACTGCACCGTTAGCCCAGTGATACATGGGGAACACAAGGTGGGGATGGGAAAGGTTGGGAGAGATTGGCATGGGGCAAGATCAACGGAAAACTCGCCTATTAAAGTGATAGTGGCAGTGACCTCCTAGCCATCTACTAGTATTAACAGTATAAATGGACAGGTGTCATCAAAGCCCACCAAACCCACGCCATTTAGCCATGGATCCCACCAGCACAGCTTGTCGTCCAATTCAGAAAGTGTATCTACAATAAAAACTCCACCACCAACAACAAAACGGCCAGATGTGGCCCGTGACATTGGTCATTGGTCATGTCACCAAATGCTCATAACAACCCTCTGGGGTAGGTACTAATATTATCCCCATTTCAGAGAAAGGAAAACTGAGGACAGAACGGTTCATTAACTGCTGTTCAATAGCAGGATGGGCGTCACCTCCATCTTTCTACGCTGCCATGCGTCAAGCATTCCCATGGCTGGAAGACTGCATGTCACCATGTCCCTTCCAGGTTCTCAGACTTTCTCTCCCCTCCTCCAATTTCTAATATTTCAACTGATTTTCTTTAATGTGTCTACATCTCATACAGCCTTTTATGGGAAAAGAGAAGGAAGGCATCTATTTCTAAACAAAATGGTCCAGGGATGAGCAGACAATCTAGAAGTTAAGTAAGAGGGCAATGCCACACCGCCTGCAGTCTGTGCTCAGTGACGGCGAGTTTCCTTCCTTCCCATCAATCCAGCTCCTGCTGCAGACCCCATTGTTGTCTTGGGAAATCACAGTCCAACAGCAAAGATTGCCACTGACTTTTGTTTAGCCCAGCAGTTCCCAAAAGCATTTAACAATGGAAGCCTATTTTGAGAAACACCTATTTCATCTGCCAAACAAATGTGGGGAAATGCTTACCCAACCTCTGAGTGAACCGCTGGCTCTAAAAGAGGGGTGTGTGCGAGGACGAGCCGGGGGACCTTCCCCAGGGAGGAAGCCCCACAGGACTGTCAGCCCTGCTGTCCTCAGTGTGGCTTCTTGCTTAGTGTCCGGATGCCACATTGGAGCTAGTGGTCTATTTAGCTTCCTTCCAGACCTTCTCCGGGACAGGTCCCTGGTGCTGCAGACTCAGGCTGGGCCCCCCTACAACTGTTGATGCCCAGGGGCTGGGCGAGACCTCCTCCTAAGAGTGGGCACTGCTCCTCAAAGTTCCCCACATCCCCCCCACTCCTCACTTCTGTGAGGGGTTGGCAGGACTGCAGCCAGTGTTCTGTGGGACAGAGGGAGCTGCCCCGAGGCCCCTTTCCCTTGGGGGCACTTCCAGCTGGGGCTGTCCTGGATTGGGGGTGGGCAGGAGGCTTTAGCTGGCCAGCCAGTCTGGAAAAATTAAGGAGTCAAAGCTGTTCCATGAAGGCCAGACGTTGGCTGCCCTTGGCAGACATGTGGGGTAAGGCAGGGTGGGGGATGCCCATTGGAGAGCGCTCTGCAGATGTTCATAAACATGGTGGCACTGACGGTCCACTGGAGCACGTAGAGGAGCTGTGGGGTCCAGAGGTGAGAACCCACAGGGCCGGGAGGCCCCACTGGCCAGAGAGAGGTGGGGCATGGAAAGCAGGTGTCTTGCTCCCCCAGATGATACAAGCTCATGCCCTCTGGAGTCAGGAACCTCTGGGCTGAGTCTCCTCAGCAGCATCTCTGCTTGAATATTCCTAGTGACAGGAAACTCACTACCTGCTGAGACATTCCATCACCGGATGGCCCCTGCTATTTTAGATGTCTGCCACATGTTGAATCGATAACATTCTCCCTGTAGCTCCCTCCATCTCTTTGGGATGACCATCCTCCCATGGTCCCCCTCCCATGGGACCATTCATGCATCCCAAGTCCTCCTCAGACTAAACATTCCCAGTGTCCCCCCATGATGCCATCTTCAGCCCCTTCTCATCTTAGACCTTCCCCCCTGCTGGGCTCCAGTCCCCCCTGAAATAGGCTCTGAGACACAACCATGGCACTTGTAGTCTGTTTGACCATCGGCGATCTGGTGTGACGCTCTGCCTTGACCCACAAAGTCTAACCTCAAAAGGGCTCCTCAGGCAACTAGGTGGCACCTAGAGACTCCTGCAGCTGTAGAGGTCAGTGCTGTCTGACTGGGCTCTGGGGGCTTCTGGGGATCCTCGAAGACCATCTGGGGTCCCAGCGAGTAAGAGGGGGGTGGGGCCCATGGGTGGGGCCAGTAGATGGGACCTCCGCCCCCATCTAATGGGAACAAAGCTGTTTGAACATGTTTTAAAATGGGCTTGCTACATAAACTTGGGTCTGAAGCAAGGGCACCACAGCTTAAAAATGTCTAAAACTGCTGGCATTGCCTAATGTGGTCTAGTCTTCTGTCACATGCCATTCCTAGACAGTCTCCCCCCTCCCACGGATGTGCACACACCTCGGCTCAGGCCAGCACCAAAGAAAAGGGGCTATTCCCCCCAGATTGGGAGACCCAGGGCACTCCGTTCTTCTGCTCCCAGGGACATTTGAGCCCTGGATCTGCTCTGTTCATAGGAACATAGTGGTCACGAGCAGGTGCAGTGGGCTTGCACACGGGTGAATGCGGAATGTCTCTACCACTCACATGCTCTTGGTGTGGGCTGGGTCGGCATCACATGGGGGCCTGGGCATGGTGAGGACTCGGGGTTGGGACAGGCAATGCCCATGGGGTGTGCAGGTACTGGGTGTGCAGGAGGCAGTCACCAGGTGGTCCCCAGCTGGAGGGCGGGGCCCTGTCCCAGCCCACAAGAGAAGGTCATTTTCCCAGCCTCCTGTGGGTGGGGGGGACACTCACAGGGCAGCGTCTCAGCGCTGTTCTTCTGGATCATTATGCAGAGCTGTAGCACCAGTTGGGGGGCGCTCTCCAGGAAGGTCTCAAGGAGGCGCAACATGTTGACGTCTGCATATTCGTACATCATAGCCCAGTAGAAGCGTCGCTGGTGTTCCTTCCGCCGCTGGCTCTGAATCCCCAGGTACATGGTACGGATATACCTGCCGAGAGAACAAGACAGAACACAGAGAGCGTGGGTAGGAGCAGGGAATGTGGAAGGGTCACGCCATTCCCCCAAACCAAGACTGCCTGTGCCCATGTCCCCTCCTTCGCTCTGAGGTTTTCCAGATGCTTGGACCAGGGTTTTTTTCCCCAGCCCCCAGAGAGGGTGCTAAGGCTTTGGGGTGGAGGAGTTGGGGGTGGATGGGATGGGCAGGCCAGCGAGGGGGTGCTAGGCAAGTCATCCCCTTCCTGGCCTCAGTTTACTCATCTAAAAAAATGAGAAATGAGAGAGTGGGACCAGATGATCTCCCAGAGCCTGCCAGTGAAGCATCACAGGTGAGCTCTGAGGCCATGTGATCTTTCTCACATTCGGGACCCCAGGGGGAACATTCCAGCAGGATTTCACGTCTACCACACAGCCCTGCCCCCTCTCTGGGGGAGGAGGAGAGAAAAGTAGCATTTGTGAAGCTCCTACTAAGTGCCACTGGCTGGCTGGCCACGTGGTGCCAGGGTCCCGGGTGACAGACAGGTGTAACTCCCACGTAGGACAGCCAGGGGGCCCGGCACAGGCTCCACAGCTGGACGGTGGAATGACGAGGAACTGGCCCCCGGCTGTTGGACACCAAAGCTCAAGCTCTCCACAAGGGAGACACAGAACCTGCAATGGAGCCTCTGTCCAAGGGTGGCATAGGACACAGTCACTCTGATGTACTGACCCTGCTCCGTCAGGGAGGGACAAGCAGCAAAGAAAGCGGGTATAGGTGGAGGGCACGGGCTCTGGATTCAAATGCTGGCTGGTTCTGTCATTTGCTAATTGTAGGATCTTGGATGAATTACCCCAACTCTGGGTCCTTGTTACCCTTCTTTAACATGGAGAAAAGGGTCAGCATCACGGGGCTGGGGGGAGATCAGGGAGATAATACGCATGGTGGACATGCATCCAGGGTCCCTCATGGATGGCTCACTCACAGCTGAACTTTTGGAAGCTGTCTCTAAGCCACAGTCAAGGGGAGGATGAAAGGTACCATCTAAGTCAGCCAGTGGCCTCTGAGGCTGAGCCCGGGCCAGAAAGGCCAGCAGGACCTAGACGAAAGCGAGGTTCAGGATCCAGTTAGGATCAGGAACATGAACCACACACAAGGGCCACAGCCAACAAAACAGAACCACATGTGTGAGGGGTTTTGTTTTGTTTTGTTTTGTTTTTGTTTTACATTTTTAAAGTAAAGTGTTTTATTCCCCTAGGTCCATAAAAACAATGTAAATACAAGCAATCTGTACGTCTTGTGTGACCTTGACTGTCCCCTGGGAATGTATATCACTGTGCCCTCTAAAACACTGGGCCTGAATCATCAAGGTTGAGAGAGCAGGGTTGATATACTATGTGGTCCCTGCTGTCCTCAGGCAAAGTCAGCTGCCTACTTGGGGCTGCTAGGCGGTCCCTCCTCTCTGTCCCCATCCCCACCCCCAGCCTGGTCCCCGCCATCACCCCTCTTGCCTGAATCAAAGCAGAAGCCTCCTAATCGGCCTCCCAGGGTCCACTCTTGTCCCAGAACACAGCTGTCAAGGTGCTCTTTGAAAATCATAAATGCAATCATGTCATCCCTCCCCCCACCCCCATCCCCGCTTCTTTCAATCCTCCCACGGCTTCCCATAATGCTAAGAATAAGATCCAAACCCCTCCCATGGTTCACGGGACCCTGCCTGCCCCTCCAACCCCACCTCCCACCCTCTCCCCCACCCTTTCTTGTGTCTCCTCTGTCTCTTGAGGAGCACAGGAGTTTATCTACTGTTCACACCATCTCCCTAACGTCAATGGAGGTAGAAGGAAGACTCCTATTTTCCAAGGCTGAGGGGTCCTGGTGGGACAGCACTGTCCTGACACTGTGAAGGTAGTCCACACCCATGTTTACAGCAAATTCACGAAGAGCATCATCAAGGCAGTCACCGAGAGGGGCTCTAAATCCCCCCAGCCCCGAGCAATGGGAGGAGCGGGGAGTCGCCTAAGACCTTATATCAATGTTACAGAAGCTCATGCTCTAGAAGCAAAGATGCAAAAGCATGCATTTATAAAAGAGCTTAAAACTCTAAAGAGATGTTCCTCTCCAATTCCAAGATGTCGGGCCTCCCTCCAGAGCGCTAATCATGTAGTGGACCCAACAATGAACAAGCGCTCCAGGGTCCCCTGGCCCGTGCACCGGGACACAGAGCAGCCCTACTGAACCACTGGTGTGACCTACAACAAACACCCTGGCAATGAGGAGCCCCCATCCCACACCAGATGAGTAATACGGATCCCTAAGAGCCTTTGCGCGACAGTATCTCTGAAGAGACCCACCCAGGGAAGCTGGCATGGACACTGTATTTCCCTCCTGATGCCCTCCCTGCAGTGAGCGGAGCGGCAGTCCTGCCGAAAGTAAAGTGGGCAAGGCTGGGGGCAAGGGCGGAAGGCAGGGTGGCCTGCGTGGGGCCTGGTGTGGGGGCCGCAGGTGCCCCAGGCCAGGCCTCTGCTAGAGTCCTGCCAGGCCTCGTGGGGCATGTCTGATCATTGTCATTTAATTCACGGGGAAACTGAGGCTCTGGAGTGAAACAGAGCACTGAATTCTGGTTCTGTTCCAGGTTCTGTCGCTTACTGGCTGTGGTGTGTCCCACGAGTCATCTTCCCCAAATTAAGGGACCAGGGGGAAGCTGGGAAAAAGGCAGGGATGTTGTTGGAAAGCTACAGGGTCACTGAGAGAAAGAGAGACAGAGAGTGAGGCAGAGAGATACAGAGACAGAGAGAGAGTGAGACAGAGAGACACAGAGAGATACAGAGAGAGGCAGGGAGAAACACATACACACAGAGAAGACACACAGAAAGAAAGAGAGAGAGAGATGTGGGAGGGAACGGAAAGAGAAAGAGAGAAAGGAATGGAAAGCAATGTCACAATTTGGGGTCTGAGGGAGAGGACCAACTGGAAGAAGTCATAGCAAAGATGAATTTGGGCAAGGGAGGGCTTGCTGTAAGGAGATAGGGTCACAGGTAGTCTGGGAGGGGTTGGGGAGCATCCAGGGTGGAAGGAAGGGCCGAATTGGCCAGATCTGAGGGTGGCCTGGGAAGGCAGAGCAGTGGAGGACAAAGGTGCGCTGGCTAAGGTCGGAGCTGTGAGTCCAGAAGCTCCACACGCACCCAGAACAGTCACGTGCCCAGGGGAGCCTTGGTGCCTTGGGTCTCACAGGACAGCTGTGGGTTCCATGACCCCAAACTGAGCCCTACCCACGTGAGGCAGCTGCAATGCACAATGCCATGTGCCACAGACTCCCATAGGGACCAGATCACAAATTTATACGTCTCAGGGGTACACTCAGACCACAGACTCTGCTTCTCCCAGCCTCACAAGGTGGCCCAAGGTAGAGGAATGATTAGGAGGCAGAGCCAAGCCTACTCGTCCAGGTTTCAGGCCAAGGTAACATCAGCACTCAGATTCACCTAGGTCTGCCCTGCCAGGGCAAAAGGAACACTTGATCTACCCCCTCCACCCCCATTTTCCCCAAGCCGCAGGCCCCTGCACCCAGCATGGCCATGGAAATGGAAGGCAATGAGCCCAGAACACAGTGACTCGACTATAATGTCTGCCGGAGAAACCAACGTTGAATTTCTTCTGTGAGCGCATCGCAAGGTGTGGGAAGAAACGAGGGTGGGAGTGGGCCAAGTCAGAGCCTCTCCCGCCCTGCTGATGAGCAAACAGATGCCGGCAGCCCAGAGTGCACCAGGATCAAGTCCAAAACCAAATTTGGAAATCATGCCTCCTGAGACCCCAGCTCACACGGCCTCCCACCCTGTAGTGGAAGTGACATCGCAGAATCCAGTTCAGGATTTCCCAATCGAGTGCCTTCTACCTAATTCCACACCCTCTGGCTCCGGCACCCCCCTCCTCTATCCTTGAGTCCTTGGGTCCCCAGGAGGCAACTGAGGGTGCGTGTAAAATCCAGAGTGGGTCTAGGTGACCTCTGAGGTTGCCCAGCCAGCTGCCTCTGCTAAGCCCCTATGCAAAGTGTGGCCACAAGGTGGCGCCAGAGCCTAAGCGAAGCAGGAAAGCTGCTCCGCGAGGTGATCTCATCCCCAGCAGGCAGCCTCCTAAGGCCTGCACCCTTCCTTCCCTCAGCAGCACGGGCGTGCAGGTGGCAGGCGAGGCCCAGGGCAGGGCCGGATGTGCTGAGTCCCCACCAGGTAGGCTGCTGCTCTTCCAAAACCCTCATCATCCCCCCTTCCCTGGCAGGTTCCGCGAGCTCACCATCTCCTGGACATTAGTTCAGGACATAAGACGTCCAATTCTCTTCCTGGATTTGCTTCCACATCTTATGGTCCGTGTCACGCCATCTCTCTCCTAAGAACACCGGATCGTGAAATTCATGGGTCTAAAAGCAGGGAGGCAGCGTGTCATCATAGAGCAATGGCTCAGGAAGGCTGGACCTGGTCTGCAGGACCACATGGCCTTGGGCCAGTCACTCCCGAGCCTGGGCCTGCGTGATTCACGATCACAGAGGGCAGACTGGAGGACCTCAAGCTTCCAGCGTTTTTACAACTTAATCCTTTTAGAACTTAAATGAGTGGCTTCACTGAGTCTGAAGTCTGGCCTAGCATCTTTATAAATAATAATAACTGATGTTTGTATGGCATTCATGTGCCAGGCACTGTTCTGAGCATTTCCTACTTATGAATCCATTTAATCCTCATAAGAGCCTCTGAGGTAGGTGCGATATTACCCTCATTTTTCAGATGGCAAACTGTAGCACTGTGCTTAACGGATGGTCCTCAGTTTACCCAGCTAGGTAAGTGGGTGAGCAGGGCTTCAGGCCCAGCAGTCTGGCTTCAGGGTCAGTGCTATTAACTCCTACCCATGTGCCGACCAGGGATGGACCATTTGCCTCTTTTCTTCTGAACTTGGTCCAACTTGTTCCCCTTGCTACAGTGGAAAAGCAGACCGCAGGGCTCTGGTCCAGTTCTTCGGGGGGCTGTGTT